CTGAGAGAAATTAAAAAAAAATTCAAATCACACCATCCCTGTAATAGGTAAATGCCTCTTTTTCTCTTGAAGTTGTTGGAATTATTCGTAATAAGATATTGGCTACAATTGAAAATGTCTTATCAATAAAATTTCCATTTATACGCGATCTAGGCATAGGTAGCGATCCATTCTATAATTCTTCTCAGTACCTCTCGTGGGAAAATGATCCCACAAAGAAAAGAATTGCATAGTACGAAATAACATAAAAATAGATTGATTAAACAAAAAGATTATGGGCCTTCTGTTCCTGAATCAATAGGAAATATTTGAACCCGATTCAATTTCATACTAATGTAGTAGTATACAGAACTATTTTGATTTCATTGAAGTTATAGATTAGAGTAACTCGATAAATTTTGATTGGATTATGATACAAAAATGAAAAAAGATCGAATAATCATTCTATGATGAAAATAGATAGAATAACCGCCTCTTTTGTCTGTTGTGTACATAGCAGGTATACAATCAACTATACAAAATGCTTTAAAAATTTCTAACAAAGGGGTTTTGTTGTTGAGAACTCTAAAACGGGAAAGGAATTTAATAATTTATAGGGTATGGAATCATAGTCTCTATAGAATTATGACAGAAAGGTATCCATTAACTCTAGTCTAAAAAATCTAGACCCATCAACCAGTTGATTCATTCTAATTCATTGATTTAATCCATTCTAAATATTAGAAATAGAAGGGAGAAATTTTTGCAAACATGAATCCCATTTTTAACAATTTTTCGTAAGTAAAGAATTTGATCTTTATCTCGGAGCCTCGAAGGAAATGGCTTTCTTTACTTTGATGAAAAATTTTCGATTTTTATTTGTATAGTTAAAATGGATGTACCTATTCGAATAATCTATAATGGAATATGAATAACTCCCTATTTACTCGGTTTTTGGTTCATAATCGTTATGTAGGAGAGGTGGCCGAGTGGTTCAAGGCGTAGCATTGGAACTGCTATGTAGGATTTTGTTTACCGAGGGTTCGAATCCCTCTATTTCCGTACCTGCACTTAATAGACCGATATGACTAACAATACTGGATCAAATAGCAATGAAGACCTTTATTCCACTAGTTAGACCTTTCATTGATATAGATTCTCTATTCCTAATTGTCGTGACACGTAAAATACTAGAAAATAGGAAAAATTCTAGAAAGAAAATGAAAATATCCCTTGGGTCTATGATACATATACATAAACGGGAGAAAATCCGAATCAAATCCATATTTTTCTTACTTAATCTTGGGTTCATTTACTTCAATGAAAGGGAAGAAAATTGCTCAAACCCCTTTTATTTTATTTGAGTTTATGTTTAAGTCTGATGAGAATAATATTCTACAACTAGCAATTCATTTATTTTCAAACCAACCCATTTACTATCTATTATTTGATTGACTAATCCTTTACATTGGAATGGGTGAAGGGTCAAATGGTTTGGCAATTCCTCATGAGAGGATGAGTCGAGAGAATTTTGAATTAGAGTTCTGGATTTTTGTTCATCCTTCGTCATAATAATATCTCGGGATTTGCAACGATAACTTGGTATATCTACTATACGCCCATTAACTAAAATATGTCTATGGTTAACTAATTGGCGAGCTACAGGAATAGTCGAAGCCATATCCAATCGAAAAAGGTTGTTATCCAAACGTGTTTCAAGTAATTATAGTAAAACTTGACCTCTTGACCCCTTGGCTTTTCCGACGATACGAACGTAAAGTAATTGTCGTTCTGTAAGACCATAGTGAAAACGCAATTTTTGTTTTTCTTCTAGACGAGTACGATATTGAGATTTTTTTCCCGAAACGTGATTGGTTTCTAAGATCACTTCGGGCTTTAGGCCTTTTATTATTTAGTCCTGGTAAAGCCCCTAGGCGGCGTATTTTTTTTGAAATGAGGTCCTCGGTAACACGACATAAAGACTCCTTATTCCTAGTTAGAATTAATTTTTTTTATTTTACAGAATAAACCTAAACTAAAACTGAACTAAATGAAGTGAAATCTACTGAAGTAGTGTACTTGTACCATAAAGAAGAATGAGGTAAATTGGATAAATATCCAGACTTTCTATTATTATATATATATAGAAAGGATCCTTTTCCTGACATAGTTGAAAGTTCCTATAACTTCCAAAATTCATGGATTTTGGAGAAGGGGGAAGGCACGTTTTCAATATTCTTTGATTTCAAAGGGACATTATCAATCATTAAAAAATTGAATAAAAAATGAAGGAAAAGCTGGCTATTGGAATTAAACCGATGACCATCGCATTACAAATGCGATGCTCTAACCTCTGAGCTAAGCAGGCCCACATAATGGAAACTTTCTATCCATAGGAATTTGATACACTACACTATAGTGTCTATAGAATATGGAAAAGGATAGAATATAGAATTTCAAATAAATATTAAATATTCTAGAACATAACCACTAATATAGCGATATAAAATTTCGATTCCTTTATCACAATTCTAATATTATTAGTATAGTAAATCTTAAATATTTTTAGATAGTCAAATTTTCTTTTTCATTTTTGCTTGAATTCACATGACATTTGAAATTCTTTTTGTTACACTTCTCTATTTTATATTTCGAATTCGAATTATTTAATTGATTAGAACTAATCAAACATTCCTCCGCTTTCATTCGTAAAGGGAAAGAAAAGATAAAAAAAAAAAAAGAATCGACCGTTCAAGTATTGCAAATTGCATGGGAAAAGTGGCAGGAAGAGAGACATATATATGGGGTATATATCCATCTATATTGAATTGCCGATACAGAAATGATAAAATCCAATTTGATTGAATCAAATACGGGTTTCCGCTAA